TTTAGTATGGGGAACTCATCCCCGTAGGGACTTAGCGACTCAGGGCTCGTGGGGGTTAGAGGTGGTTTTAGCAATGAGAAAAGCCCCAAGTGTGAGCAGCCTTCAGAAGTACTGTCTGAAGTAGAGCAGAATCCTTCGTTTCTCTAACTCTCCAAGTGTTTCTGGAGTGTTCTGCGCTGCGCTGTGCAGTGCCCCAGGGAAACACAGAGACAGAGAGCTCAGGCCCTGCTGAGCGGCAGCTCTGTCTAGACAGGAGACAGGCTTGTGAGCACGCCACCATGCCATTCATAATGAGCGGCGCAGGAACAGAAGCACATGCAGCGTGTCTTCATGTCTCCGAGGGGCAAGCACCCCCCGGGTGGGGAAGGGCAGGAAGGGTTCAGGAGGAGGGCCATGAGCTGACCAGAAATAAAATAAAATAACAGCTGCTTTCATTAAATGCTCACTCAATGCCAAGCCCTTTCATCATACGAAGAATGGAACAAAGATATGGAGTGTGGCTTGGGTGAGGGAAGGGCCCTGGTGGGGCAGGTGGGGCCCAAGGTCCTAGATCAGCTCTGCCCCTAACCTGCAGTCTGACACAGGACAGGTTAAAGGACATCCCTTTGCAGCTATGCAAATGAGATTGGACTTGAAGGTAGGGTTCTCTCATGAATTTTCTAGTAAGTATCTTACTTAGACTCTTACTAGAGAGACTAAATGAGCTCAGAAAGGCATTAAAGAACAACACGAAGCTGCACAGGTAACCACAAAGTTGGAAACTACCATAAAGGGTCCAGGAGCTGAGAGACAGGAAACTTTGGGCCGAGAAATCCAGGAGGGGTTCCTGGCAGAGGAGAGCCCCGAGCTGGGCCGTGAAGGATGATTTAAATTGGGGCAGTCTGAGAGGAGGAGGACACTGTTGTGGAGGACGACAAGTGCAGCCTTGCTCAAATGTTCAGTGGCTCCCCAGGCCTGTCACCCATGGCATGGCAGGCTCTGCACAGCGTGACCCCAGCACCTACCTGGCCCGGTCGTCCTGACATCCCTCCAAGAACCCCACCCTCCGGCACCTGGAGCAGTCTGCCTGCTCCCTGAACCTGCCACACAGAAGCAGGCTGCTGCTGAATTCCCTTCACCTCCTGCTCTGTCTGCATTTCCCAGTGACCCCTTCCCCACTCCCCCCTTCAGAATTAAAGATCCTTTTCTCTTTCTTTCTGAACTCTGTCCCATTTGCTTAGGGTCACACATGGACAGATCCCGAGCCACTAAACTATAGACACCTCAACCGTGGCTTACTCCTCCCTGTGGGCCACATGCCACACTGATGGCTGGTGCTTGACAAATGCCAAATGCGTAAATGAATGAATGAATGATGAAGCTGAAATCTGGTCACAGAAAGGGAAGTTCGTGACTACAGGGGATTGTGAACTTGTGGCCAGAGGCACTGGATATGACTGACCTCAGGGTGTGGCCTATACTGCTGTGGGTGGGGCTTCTCAAAGCTGGAGGAGCTCAGATGTCATGGAGTCCAGTCTGTGCCATAAAAGCCTCTGCAGCAGCTGCAGCACAGCGCTGTGGGCAGCAGGCCACACCCCCCAGTGAGGGCTGGCAGGTGCCCTGGGCTCGGATTTCAGCTCTGCTGTTTACCAGTTCTGTGGCCTTATGCAAGCTACTTAACCTCTCTGAGCCGTGGTTACTGTCTTTTGTAAAAGGGATATAGTACTACTTCCTTTCAAAGTTGTTGCAAGCACTATAGAGAATATATATACAAAAAAACAAAAACAAAACAAAACCCCAACCCACCCACCAGCTGGTAAAAGGTGATTAATGAATAGTAGCTAATTCTGTTTTTATGACATATGACTATTTGTTACATATGGCTGGGGAAAGTGTTGTGGAAAGTTCAAAGACAGTTCTAAGTAACAGAATTTGGGTTTAAACCTAACAGCCTGTCATAATTAGTGACCTTATCATGGTATTAATGGGACTCATTAACACAGTGTCATGTGAAGATGATGTGCCAAAGATTCTCAGGATCAGGGGTTACGAAGCTTTTCCCGAGGACACACCCCATGAAAACTGCGCACAGTGAGACACTTGTCAGGTCACAGAGCCTGCTGCAGAGGTTGGCAGCCTGGGAGAGGTGACCTAGAAACAGTGTTCAAGGCCAGTGTCTGCCCAGCTCAGTCCTAGTTCTGGAAGCAGGCAGAGATCGGGGCAGAGAGCCCGCATTGCTGCCATTACACACTCCAGAGCCGTGCTATTACTGGTTTGGCTCCTGGGAGGTCCAGGCCAAGCATTAGGGCCTCATCTAACAGGCCGGGCTTCGGGCACGAGGGGCGGGAGGAAGGAAGCAGCCCGGAGCCTTCTGTAGGCAGTGGTGGCCGGAGCCCCAGATGTCACCTGGGCTGGGCCTGAGCCTGTGCAGTAGAGTTGAAATGGTTCAGAAGTCGAGTCTCGGTCACTGGTTGGGCCTATGGAAGGTGGAGGAGGGAGGAGGGGAGGAGAGAAAGAATCAAAAAGTAGCGCCGATGCTGGACTGAGTGGGTGCCATTAACAGAATCAGGAGGGACTCAGTTCTCATCCCAAGTCCCCTTCACCCAGTTTCCCCAATCGCAGTGGGCAGCACCCCCGCCCACAGGACCAACATCCTGGAGTCTCCCCAGTTCCTTCTCCTCGCTCTGCCTGGAACCGGCTCCCTCCTCCTCTGGCCAACTCCCTGCCAGCCATTTTCAAGTCCTGCCCGTCCACAGGTCTCTCCTGAAACGGTGCCCTACTCTCTGTCCCCACTGCCACTGTCCCGGGTCAGGGCTGCACCTTCTTCCTGGTTCACAGCACAATCTCAGGCCTCGCTGCTCCCCTTCTGTCCACCATTTACACTCTTCCCCACAACCAATCAGGCCACACTCATCCCTGGCTTGCAACCATTTGGCACCTCAGTGTTACACAGTCCAGAGCAACCCCCTAGCATGGCTGGTATAGGACCTTTGTGATCTGTCCAGCTCCTCGTGCCCTTCCTTCCACACAAGCCTCAACCCAGCCACCTGAACTGCCCGTGGCTCTCACAAGTCTCGGTGTTCTCCTCATTCTGCCTGGAACCTGCTGCCCCCCCCTCCTCTGGCCAACTCCCCATCAGCCTCTCTGACTCCACTCCAGAACCCCACTCCTGGCCCCCACTCTGGGGCCACATAGGAGCTCCTCCTCTGCGCTCCTCACTCCTTCCTCCTCTGTGGCTCCCACCGTATTGTCCAGGAATAACCTCGGATCCCTCTGCCTCTCATACCTCCAGCCCAGGGCCTGCTCTTCCTCAGTTTCAGCTTCAAAGAGCTCAGCATCCTGCTGGAAGCAGTCAGTAAATATTTCGTGAATGAATGGGAGAAACAGCAAGGAGGGGACCCGAGAGAGGATGATTCGGCAGGGGAGCCGACACAGTTTGGTTCTAGGACACTGGTGTGAGCTGCTGGTGGCGCATCGAGGTGGAGGTCCAAGCTGCCCCCGGAGGGCGACTCTGGAGCTTGGGGGAACATCTGAGAAATGGTGGTCTCTCTGCTCAGACAGGAGCCAGTTTCCCTCAGGAGGTCAAGTGACCAGCAAGTGGCCCATAGTTAGCAAACCAGCTTCATCGACTCAGAGAGCCTCAAAGCCAGAAAGACACCATAAGGACATAGTCTGCTGTGATTCTTTTATTTAACAAAGCAGGGAAGCAAGGCTCGGCGAGGGGAAGGGCCGAGTCAGAGGCAGCGTTTGGACAGACCCCGTGTGCCTCCACCATAGTCCGAGCACCGTTTGCCACCCCCGTGGTCTCCTGTGCGTGGCACTCTCTCTGCTCCCTGAAGGAGGGCGCTGTCTGTGCGGGTGGCAGAAGGCACTAGAGGCACCTAACTCCACAGATGTCTGCACACGGACTCTTCCCTTCCCACAACACAGTTTCTGGTGGCCCAGACAAGATCAGACACAATGAAGATGCTGGGTGCCACAGAGCTTAGGCACTGAGTCTCACGCACTCAGCAAACAGGATGAGCCCTGTGGCCTTACCTCAGCCACAGCTGCATTGATTTTACCATGTTTTAAACAGTGTTGACCATCCACTCTCCAGTCCTCAGACAGATGAGAATCAGCTCATTAGAAACCACAAGAGAGATTGCTGTGAACAAGAAAACGCACACACTAAGAAAAAGCAGAAGATGGGGTCACTTAGGGTAAGGACCAAAGCCATTCACAGCAAAGCGGGCGAAGACTCTCCACACATACACATCTCAACAACACAAGTCCTGGTCGTGATATCCATACCGTGTGCTCGCTTAGGGTCTGTAAGCATTTAGACATCTCATATGGATATCCATCTAAAGTGATTAGGATTGTTAAAGTTCTAGCACTACAAGAAGCAAGCCCTGGGCTGTCGAAGGGAGGAATTATCCTTAAAAATTCTGAATAGCAAAGGTTCTTCATCAGGACAAAGTGGCGAAGGCAACTGGTATTTGACAATTGGCCACAATAAAGCAGGCACGTTGTCCGATGCAACGCTAACACATCGTATCGTTTAACTTTCACAATTCTTTGACCTCACAGACAGCAGGTGTCCAATTATACAGGCAGGGCAAAGCAGGTGTACAGTTGTGAGTATGCAAAACACAGTTTATTCTTGTATCATTATTAATTCTTGTATTACTTTCCATACAAACCCATAAATGATTGACTGGATGGGCTGAGTTTTTCAGCCTCATTTTTAAAAATGGGGAAAATAAGACGCGCCGATTAGAACTGCCTGGCCCTGACCGCTCAGTGGGCGCTGGGAGCTGGGAGCGCTGCGCCCAGGCACTACTGTGGTGCAGGTCAAAACCTGCAGCAACTTGGCCACAGAAAGACTGGCACTTAACTCTGAGCACAGAGTGCAGCCAACTGCAGCCACACTGCTGTTGGCGCCACGAGCACTAATCGTGAGTTTGCAGCTCTGGGTGAGGATCACCGCTTCCAGGTGTGTGAGGTTTCATAGTACCTGTGCTTTCTTTGATTCACAGGAATGAATTCAGAGCATGGACGGACATCAAGCCTGTGAAACCAATAAAAGCCAGGCCCCAGTACAAGCCCCCAGATGATAAGATGGTTCATGAGACCAGCTACAGTGCCCAGTTCAAAGGGGAGGCCAGTAAGCCAACACCAGCTGACAATAAGTTCGTTGAACGCAGAAGAATACGCAGCCTCTACAGTGAACCTTTCAAAGAACCACCAAAGGTGAGGCAGATCTTGTGGGGAGCCCACCAGCACAGCCTGGGGTGGAGGGGTTCGCTGCCACAGAGTGTGGGGGTGGGGCTGCTGCCATTTCTGGTCCAGCCCCCAAGGGTTGGATTGAAATCCCTCCTGTTTGCAGCACTGAGTCAGAGGGGCTTCTTAACAGGAACCACTGTTAAATTCAAGAGGAATGTGTAAAAGGAACGTTACCTGAAATAAAAACAGCTTAAAGATAGGCAGATGTGCAGAAAACTAGCTTCTGATTTTGAGAAGCCCAGAAAAAAAGTGGTGGAAAAACCTTATTTGGGTCCCGAATCCCTTGTCATAAAATAACTGTGCTTTTGCTCACGGTTGGGGGCACCCTTGCCCAGCTTCCTTCCCATCCGGCCCGGCCTCCTCCTCAGCTCCAGTCACTGGACACTTTCTCACCCCACACCCCCTACCCCCGTGTCCCTGAACATCACCTACCCTTTCTTACTCTCTCCCTTGATAAACACCACTCACAAGCAGTTCGTCACACACGCCTGCTGTGTCCGCTGGAAGATGTGACTTGAGTAACATGTTACTACAATAAACAGTCTGTAGATGATTTGCATCACTAAGTAACTTACAGTGGGCTCAGGGATTTTCCTCTAACGACACTACTTTGCCTTATTTGCAACCCAGAGTACACTCGGGAGAGGAAGAAGCGTGTCGGGGATTCGGCTGCTGACGCAGGAATCATGTGTGCCAGGCTTGTTCTCTGGGGTCAGGTCGCGTGGAAATATGCAGATAACAGCTGTCTATAACAGCAGAAAAAGGCTGAGAACCTACGTGGCCTTTTTTATGCTTGAAGTCTTGCCCTCCGTGGTTCCCTCTGTGGTCAGGACTGGTGGGCAGGTCAGACAGGTGCCGCCCCAGTGTGCCTGCACCCGTCCAGCTGTAGCAGTGAAAGTTCCATGTTCTATGAAAGCTCTCGGTCCTGGGCAAACCAGGCCCACTGGTTACCTTATGAATGGGTCAGAGGTGAGTGACCCATCCTGTGAGGCCCATTGTCATCTCTGTCCCTCTTCCACAGATGAGGTAGGACCCAGGACATGGGGTTGGCTTTGGGCAAGAGAAGAGTAAAGGGAAGAAGGAGAAAAGATTGGGGAAAATAAATCTAGAGTTGGATGGGAGGTGGGTGACATGTTGGGAGATGGCCCCCAGTGACCCCAGAGTTCTTGAGAAAGAGAAGGCAAGGCCGTCTTCAGGGATGAAGGGGGCAGAGCTAAGGAGGGAGTTGGGGGAGTGGAGTGGGCTGGAGCAGCTCCTCTGGACCACTCGGTCCGGAGGGCCGGCCTGGGAAGAGCAGGGCGACTGGGCAGGCGAAGGCCTCCCTGAGGAGGACCGCCTGGCGCACACACCGCAGCAGGGACGTTTCTCCACGCGTGTGCACCGTCTCAGAGACGGCAGCAGAGGGGAGCGGGCGTGTGCTGCGGTGATGGCCCACCCAGAGCCTCTGTGTCTTATGTCGCAAAGGTTTATTTCTACAACACATATCCATCGTGGGGCCATGCAGCTCCCCTCCTCGTCACCTCTTTGCTCTGGGACTCAGGGAAGGGGCAGCCCCCTGTGGCAGGGGACGAGAGCACCGAGAGGCACGCGCTGACTCTGAGTCCGGCTGGAGGTGACCTGGTTTGCGTCACTTCTGCTCACATTTCACTGACTAAGGCAAGTCAGTCACACACCTGCCTGACTTGCACAGGGCGAGGAGGGAGGTCCGATGTCCCCACAGAAAGTAGAGGCGGGCAGCACAAACAGTGACACGGTCCCCCGCCGGGGTGGGCCAGGGAGAGAGGTCCGGGGGTCCGGTGTGACCAGTGGGAGTGTTGCCAGATGGCTGCCCGCTCAGAGGGTGCGGACGCCTTCTAGAAGCCCAGTGGAAACACTCTATGCTGTGTGCTCCCCTGGTGTCAAATGTCATCGTTACCGTTATCCTTGAATTAATCATGTCTTCTCTCTAAATTCTCTCTCCCACTCCCTCCCCTTTTGTGTTTCTGTATTTGCTGTCTGTCTATCTGTCTGTCTGTCTCTCCATGCAGGTGGAGAAACCCAGTGTCCAGAGTTCCAAACCAAAAAAGACCTCAGTGAGCCATAAGCCCCCGAGGAAGTCCAAAGATAAGCAGGTGGTGTCGGGCCGGGCCTCCAAGAAAAAGAGCACAGAGGGCCCTGGCGCCGCCCAGCCCGACGACAAGGAGCAGAGCAAAGAGATGAACAATAAACTGGCTGAGGCGAAAGAGTAAATGTCACTGCACTTTCCTTTTATTCTTCTCCCCTCCCCCCCTTTTTTTAACCAACCAACAAAAAAGGCCACAAAATTGATTAGAGGCTTCTCATCTGTCTTGGTCCTGAGTGTTCTAGGAGCTCTTTGGTTTGGTTTCTTTTAAGGGAGGAAGCCTGTTTTCAGAGGCTGTGTGGCGTGCTCTCCTCTGTGCCCCTGTGGCTGTGCCCAGGGCCCTGGAAGCCCAGGAGGCAATGGCTCACCGGCCGGGCCTGCCCCTAGGCTGGTGAGACCACGTGCTGGTGAGGAAGGCAGGCAGGCCATTCCCAGGTGGCTGCGGGGGAAATCTCCTGGTAGTGCTTAGAAACGTCTGCGGGATGTCCTCCTCCTAGTCCTCCCCAAGGTCAGAGTCAGTGACCGATTTGGAACTGTAGGTGAATGTGTTGTTTCCCAAATTCGGAGAGTTTTCATGTGTTATGGAAGCCTAACCTGGCCTTCAGCAACTGACAACGTTTGTGGACATATTTTGAAAACACAATGCGAGAAAACCTTGGCCTTAATAAAATCAGTTGTGTCAGTTAAGTAATTTTTTCATAGAATCTTCTGTTAGATACGTGTGGCTGCATTTAGTCTCCTATCGGTAGGCATTAAATGGTATGTGAAGTAGAAGACAGGCCCCTGATGACTGGGGCAGGGTGAAGGTTGGGGGTTTTAGGTACATTCCGGAGATCACAGGAAGGTGACAGCGATGAAGGCATTGTTTGCTGTTTCCCCTCAGCCGACGGCCTACCCGGGGCTGCCGATTTTGCAGAGCGGCTGGTTACAAGTGACTGAGGAAGACAGTTCAAGGTGTGGGACAGTGTTTAGAACGTGACTTTCCTGTGCCTGAGACACACAAGGCAGGAGGTAGACGTAGTGACAAGTGTGGCAGTGTTTACTCTCCCTTCCTGAACTGTTCTTACTCTGCTCCTTGGGGAGGACGGAGGACGCTGAGCTTCAGGCTGTGGGAAATACCTGTGACTTAGCTGAGACTAGGAGAGTTCCCTGCTAAGTGATTAGCAAGCATTTTTGACCTCCTTAATGAATAAAAGTGGCTCTCAATGGATTATGTGTTGTGTGTCTGTGTGGCCAAAGGCTCCCGTGGGGGCAGGTGCCACCGTAGCTGTGCTAGACTTGTGTTGTAGGCATTAGTCAAAGAGGTGTCGTGAAAGAACCCAGTGCTCATGAGGGAACCCAAAAACACCTGCCAGAAAAAAACGACACATGCCAACCTGTGACGTGCGCACTGCTCGCTGTGCTCTCTCTCTCCTGTCCTCGAAGTGCTCACTGTCGCCAGCGCTTGGAAATTGCTGGGCAGTTGTGTGACGCCAAGCCTCTGCTCAGGCTTCCTTTTCGTGTGTGGTTAGATAGTCGTGGTGCTGAGTGCAGCGCGCAGAGTTCCTTTCCGTCCTTCCCGTTTTGGGGAGACCGAGCCTCCGTGTGCTCTCTTGTGTTCCGGCCATTGAAGCAGCCAAGTCTGTTTACACTGCTTGGGTTGTGACCTTGGAGCTGATGGAGAAGTGGTTTGTGGGTTAATTGAGCATGTGCTATGTGGGCTGTATTTCTTAAGAGAACAGGACTCCGAAAGATGAAGCCCTCAGCCAGGCCCACTGCCACCTTCCTGTCCACCTCTGAGTATGGAACTGTGAGGAAGGAGGAGGGTTGAAGAAGGTAGAAAATCTGAGTGAGGTTAGCGTTCACGAGTCTCAGGTTTTGAGGCCTATCTGGAAACGACCCGAGCTGGTCTCAGTTCTGATTCCACCTATGCGCTAGCTCATCTTACCATTAACCAGAACGCTCTGTCAACATGATCTTAAGTTTGTCCAGGAATGTGCAAGTGTCTGTTCATTCTCTCAAGATTTGGCATCACTCAGACACGTGGATGTTCGCTGAAGTTTGGATTTCTCTGTAGCATAGTCCTACATTTTCTGCAGATGAAGTAAATCAAATTCTACAATGCATAGGGGACCACTTATTCAACCTTTATTTATTGAATGCCTGTGTGTCGGCCGCCGGTCTGTCCTAGACATCTGTACTGTCCTAGGGCGGTATAAACAAGCCCGTCTCCACAGCAGCACAACCAGAAGGATACCAGTGACTTGATCCCTGCGTCTGGTTCAGGTTTGTGCTGCCCAAACTATAGGGCTCACCACCCACCTGGCTGCCCCAGGGACTAAGTTCCCTACCTTGCTGCACCTTGAGGCTTGAGATGACCTTGTAATGTGTGTTTCAACCCATCAGTATCGCCAGCTTTTTAACACCTTGTTTGCCATTCACTTTGACTCTTGAATGTGTCATTTCACTGGCAAGAAAATTCCTTCGATTTCTACTGTTTACAAATAAAACTCGGCCAGTCTTGTTCTGTACCCCAGACACACTGATGGAAACTGATCTCGGTTTCACAAGCAGTGTTTATTTCTGCCTTTCTGAAGGTGACCAAGCTGCCAGTGCCTGCGCTGCTCATTTTTGCGTACCGCCCTATGGTCTCCTCAGCTGCTCTGGCAGGAGCGTGAGAACAGAAACTTCCCCACTGGCTGCCTCACTGGCCTGCGCAGTACCCGCTGCGGCTGCGCAGTGGCTCCCGCGGCTCTGTGGTCCCCACCGCGTGCCCATTCGGTCCATTGTGCTTTTGGCTCTCGGAGGCAGACAGGAGTGTCTAATTATGATTTTGTGGCCTGGGTTTTGTTGCATACCGCAGACTGTCTATGTCATGTGTAGCGCACTCCTCTCTTGGTGCTATTTCATTCCCGCTGTTGGTAAGAAAATAACAAAGACATTCATGTATAGCCAATTGATTGTGACGTGCTTGTGGTCTATGCCTGCTCAGAACGAACAAACAAACAAACAAACAAACAGTTTTTCCAATTATAAATAAATGCTAAAGACGAACACCACTTTCTTGATCTTATTTCCTCGGTAAGGCCCAGCTGAGTAGGTGAAGGACCCACCTTTGCCACTTGAGCCGCTCTCCACGAGAGGAGCTGCGCCCTGCAGTTTTTCGGGGGCTCTCCGTAATGCAGCTTGACTCTTTTAGATTGCCTCTCAGATACTAATTGCGAGCAGTCAGAGCTAAGTGTTGGGAAAGGCGAAGATGGACCGGGAGACCCACTGGCCAACCAGGTAGTGTAACGTTTTGATCCCATGTTGCTGGGGACGAGCGATCGCCTGAGTTCAGCACGTCCTCGCCAGGCTGGGAGACAGGGCCCTGAATCTCTCACCCCTTCCTGTCAACCAGCAGGACTGTCGGTCCTGGCTTGTTCTTCTCCCAAGGGAGGGCAGAGATGTCTTCACCTGCTCATTTAATCAGGTCATTGTGGAGACTCCACCCTGCGGGAGCTGGCTCACTGCATGGGTTACAGGAGTGACAGTCTTGTGTGTGCCTGACATGGGGGTGTGGTCCAAATTAAGTAACAACAGACCAGGTTGCTGGGAGCTCAGATGAAGGACAGGGGTAGGGAACTGGAAGGCTTCGTGGGGGAGGGCTCCCTGGAGAGTGGGGGGGATGCAGGCAGGCGGAGGCAGGCAGACGGGCAGGATTGCAGATCCAGGTGGGAATCTCGCTCGGAGCTGAGGTTGCCCACTTTGCTATCCTTCTGCTAAAGTGGGAGGCAAAAGCTTCTTGTGGGATCCTTCTTCCCTTTTCCAAGATATGTTCCTTGAATGCCCGCTCTGTGCTAAGCACTGTGTTGGGCACTAAGAAACCAGGATGACTGAGCCCCCCGCCCCCCAACCACAGTGGGGTGCGCAGGAGGAATTTGTTCTGGCTGTTCTGTGGATTGGGGAAGGCCTCAGTGGATGGGCTGGTGATGACCAGCTGGGCCAAGGCATGCCAGACAGAGGGAGCTGCACAGCAAAGGTGTGGAGGGGTCCAACACCAGGTGAGCTCAGGTCCTGGGGAAGCAGTTCACACAAGGAGGGTCAGGCGAAGGCTGGCCACTGGCAGAGCCTGTCACGGAAAGGCCTGGTGCCAGGCCGGCGGGCAGTTGCTAACTGGGATCTCCATCTCATGCACCCAGATTGCACCCCACACCTTCGCATGCTCCCCGCCATCATGCTTCTCACCCTCACCCACACATCAGGCAACGGCCACGGGTCCTCTCTTTCTTCAGGCTAGGAGCTCTAGGCTGGGACTTTATGCTCCTGCTGGCCCCAGTTTCTGGGTTTGCGGGCGGAGGCTTGGTAGGTGTCAACCAATCAATGGTCATACATATGAAAACCACTATATCTCTGTTTTCTGGATTAACAGAAAAAAAATTACACCCACCTGCCAGCTTTTGTATGAGGCAGAACACAGAAAATCGCCTGTTCTATATAGAAACCCTACTTAAAAGCATATTAAAGTCAAATTATCCAGCCCCTTTTGATCAGCTAAGGATTGTTTTGATCAAAACCAGGGGTTGAGAGAGGTGGAAACAGCGGTAAAGAGCGAGACGCACAGAGATGCAGACACAGAACGACCCAAGAGAGGGCAAAACACTGAGAACAAGGACAAGACCTGGGCGACGGGGAAGGCGGGAAGGGGGGGAGCCCGGCCAGCTCTCTCCGTGCCGCCCGGTGGTCGGGGCTCGTCCTGAGCCGTAGCCTGTGCTTCTCGCCAGGCTCCCTGCTGGTGCCCGGAGCCCAGGAGGTGAATCTATAACTCATTACTGACATCACCTCCCTAAAACAGCGAACAAAATAAAAACCAGCCCTCTAGTTTTTAAATAGTTCATTATTACTAAATTAGTTATAAGTGTTTTTTCATTCTTTTTTGGTGTTTGCGTGTTCTTAGTGAAATTCTTCCCTCATTTTTTTCACTTGGGCTGAAAAATATAGAACCTGCTCCTCATAGATTTGGGGAGTGTTGAGTCCCATTTCACAAAAGCTAGGAACTCCCTTAGTGTGTCTTCCTGCAAAAATGTTTTAAAGCAGTTCACATTTTCAGGACCACGGGTATAACATGTCTCTTTCAGGATGTAGCCTGTGGACCCTCTACAGTT